ACTTTGGTTAGTTTCATAAATAAAATGATAGGTGAATGTTTCCTTTATCCTTCAGTTTGAATTTGACATTTCTTATGCGTTTAACAATGAAAGTAAATTTCATTTATCTCTTCAAATTAATAGTGAAACATTAATCTATCTCTCAAGATGGTAGAATGTTTAGCTATGCAGATTTGACTAAAAAAAATTAAATCATATCATGTGGAATATTTTATTTATACACAATATTTTTCCAGCGACACTGCTAGGGATAGACTCCTCTCTTCATTATTAGTGGAGCTAGAAATTTTAGATCTATAAAGATTAGATTAAAGATTTTAGTAATAAATCTTCTTTTTTTTTTTTAAACCCAGGTTCCAAAACATTCATCTTAAATCTTCAAAAATAAATCAATATTTAAATCTCTTCAATTATAAATTCTAGTTTAAAATCATTTTCCTAGTCCAAAGTCTTTTAGACAAGGCCTAGATTTAAATCTATTCAAATATAAATTCTTATTTAAACACATTCCTGCAGACCAAGGTCTTTTGGACTGGGTTCAAACCTCAATCTCTTCAATTCTATATTCCAAATTATACTCATTTCCCTATTCTAAAGTCTTTTCATACTGTGTTTATATTTAAAATCTCTTAAATTCTTAAGTCCAGTTTAAACTCATTTCCCTTGAATGAAGTCTTTTTGACAAGGTCCAACTTTAAATCCCTTCAAAATCAAATAAAATCTAAATTTCGGTTTACACTCATTTCCTTGTCTAAGGTTTTCAGACCAGAACTTTGCCTAAATCTAAATCTAAATCCTATCATAATTAATGTTCCCCTTGGTGTGAAGTCTTCAAACCATGTCTTAGTCTAAATTCAATTCTAAATTATGTCAAATTTAAATTCTCCCCAAGTTCCTATCCATGGACGGATCCTGGTTTAAATTTTTTATCTACATCCCTATCTAAATCATTGCTTCAGTAGGAGATTATTCTAACATGTTTTAAATCTAAATTTCTCTAAAGTTAGAACTAAATTCCAGTTCCATTCTAGTTTAAACTTGTGTTGGAGATTAAGTAGATTCAGCTCAATATTGTATTTAGTGATCTAAATATCTTGCTTAAAACTAGTACATGAAGAAACTGATTATTTAGGAAAGCTGATTTTCTGTTTCTCCAAAGTTGCTAGCATCAATGTCAACTAGAACCTATCTATTGATGGCTCTCTAATCAAACTGGGTTTAAGATTTGATAACATCTAATTTTCTTTACTAGACTATACCTAAAGTGGTCAAGACTGAAGTCTTTGCTAAACAATCAACTGCTAAGTTCACTAATGAGCGTGGGTGTGCACTTGCTCCTGTAATTGCTAAACCCTCTGCGTTCACTTGCCACACTTTCATCAATTATATAAGCAACCAGAAGGGCAAATTTATTGCTCATCTATGGTCAATTAAAAAAACTATTAAAGTTTGATTTAAAAAAAAAATCACCGAGCCATCTTAAGAAAGCATCTTCTTCAGATACTCATCCTTAAGTTTGTTAGGTTTTTCCCCGTACGGCACTTAATCCTAAAATCAACACTGATTTGAAAATATAACTACAAGTAATCAACATAATGGAAGAAGAAAAGGTAAGGAAAGGGCTAAATAATTCATAGATATAAAATCCCTCATGGTGTCGGACATCAATTTCCATTTATTACTGTCAGCCTTTCCAACCTAATATGAAATAAAATAAGTTAATCAAATAGAGTAAATTGATTTAAGATTGTATAATGGGTATGATTTGGTAAGTATATTGCGGATACCGACTATTGAGACAAGTTTTTGTCACAGTTCTTCTATACTCCTTTCAGAACTTATCCGTGCATGATGTAAGGAAAAGAAAATTGAAGTTGAAGATGGAAGGCTAGAAGATATAACTTTAATGATGTACCAGCAACCAGCATTCAACAATGTAGAGGCAGTAAGTGTTTGACGATTGTGGCTGTCTACTTTCAAAATGAAAGAAACCCTTACAATTGATTGAGAAAATATGGAATTTGATATAGCTGACAAGAAACTGTAGGAGTCTATTGCATTCAGTAGAGGAAGAAAAGAGGTATTTGATTGGGCAAAGGCATTCAAAGGATCATACGCTTCAGAAGTAGCTCAATAGGTTTAGGAGGGAAGAGAAATAATAAATGACAAACTTATTATTGCATGAGCCTCTTAAAGATGAGGATATTAATTTTGGCATCAAAATAGTTACATTTCTCAGTAGTTATAGTAATTTCTTAGTAGTTCTAGTAATTATCGTTTATTTCATTGCGTAGGATAAATTTAGCAATTTGAGCAAGCAGTGCTAGAGTTAATTGTTGTTCACCTATTTCCTCATGGGTTTGGCACACTTCTCATAATAATTTATTACTTGATTGGCGCATGTGCTTATGTTGTTAGTTGGGAGTATTTTGAAATTACTAGATTGCCAAAAGGGGGGTGAATTGCGAAAATATGTTGCAATAATTAAAATCCTAAGCAAGAGTTCTAATATTTTTGTGTTTTTAAAATTTATAACAAGAAAACTTTAACCAATGTGAGAGCAAATAATTGAACTTACCTTGCAACAAAGAATTCCTTTTTTTTCTTTCACAATTATCACCAAGCAAATATAAAGAAAAATAAAGGGCAAACAAAAATAAAAAAGCGATAAGGAAAAGCACACCGGAATTTTATAGTGGTTCGGTCAAACCATGACCTACGTCCACTCCCCGGAGTCCTCCACTCCGGAGATTTCACTACAAACTATAGTTCTCCTTTTGCCCCCCTCGGCAAGGCGGAGAAGCCCTTACAGGACTCACTTTCACCAACCCGGCGTGGCGGAGTGCCAAGCGCTTTTCTCACCCTCCTGGCGACGGCAACGTACCTTCTCATTTTTCTCCCTCCTGGAGAAGGCAGAGTACCTTCGAGGTCACTAATGTAGAAGAGTCTCCCCTTCAGAGAGCCTTCCACAAGTTCTTCTCGGGCCACAGGAGAAGCAAGATGTAGCAAGAACGGAGCAACCGTGTGATCTCCCTTACACTACTTCTCCATCACCAAGCTCACCCTCTCCTTCCTCTCTCAAACCCAAAAAACATCTCAAGAGCTCTCTCCCTAGCATTCCCTCTCTAATCATGTTCCCCTCTTTCTGTCTCTCACTCTCAAAACATAACAATTTTGACACATAAAATGGGCTCCAAAATTCCTAAAATTTAAAAGTAGCTGTTACTATCGTATAGTACAATTTCACATTGTACTATACCATACATCATCCTTGTACGAAGGTGTACGAACAGTTCAAATATAATCGTACAGTACAATTATAAATCGTACGATGCGATCCTCAACAATACTGCTCGTACAGGACGATAACTGGGACAAGCAAAAAGTTGTCTCTATAAATCGTATGGTACGATCATTGTCGTACAGTATGATTAGAGCAAATCAAGGGATTAGCCAGGATGATTTTCAGGATGATAGAGATCGGCCTCTGTTCATCGTATGGTACGATATACATCGTACAGTACAATAAGATAAAAAGAATATATCATCCTGGACGATGTCCGGGACGATCAAAACTTGTCTCTATTCATCGTATAGTACGAACCTGTTCGTACAGTATAATGACCAATCAGCGATTAAGCCTTGATTTATTCCACTAATTATGGGTTATTTAAGTAAGTATTTGAAATAAATCGTACCATACAAATGACTTCGTACAGTACGAACGGCTGATAAAACTTACTTAATCAAATCCGGCGGCTAGGGTTTTGGATTTAGTAACACATTGTACAGTACAATATACATCGTACAGTATGATTTGTTCATAATTTTTTTTTTTAAAAGATCAGATCGTATAGTATGATATAAAGTCATACAGTACGATCAACAGAGAAAGAAAATCTTTATTTTTACTTTTAAAACCCTCTCCCCCTGTGTGTGTGTGCATGGTTACTTAGACTTACATGCAGTTTGTGGCCGGACTCAAGAAAAGAAAAATAAAATAAATAGAAAATTATATTATTTCAGACTCACACTCCTACTATACAAGGTCTTGAGTCTTTCTGTTGTCCTAAGTAATTTGTGATCTTCCTTAAATGTTAGTACTCATAGGCAATAATATAAATCAAAATATATTCAATGAATAGAAGTTAAGACGATATTATTTGTCACCATGAAAATCTCAAACTCGGGGTCATGGGTTGCAACATATTTAGCAGTGGAATTTATAATGGCATGCAATTTTATTGTCATACAATTTAGCTACTCGTAAAGAATTAACTCTCTCATACACAAAGTAGAGTCTCCATCAAGTTTTTGTCACCATTGTTGAGAAAGTAGTTTGCGCTTTCACAATTATTTCAATATTGTTAAAAAAATAGAAAAATTCAATCCTTCTTGATTTGCATCTTATTTAGTTATCCTTATTCTTTTGTGAAGCTGTAACTATTTGGTCTTATAATTTTTATTTTTAGTTTATTTTATTGCATTTCAATTTTTTTTTTTTGGTGAATGTGTAGTAGATTCCATAAGGATCCCTAGTTGTTTGATTTAGAAATAGAAAAGATCCTTACAAAAATTTAAAGATCCAAAAAAACTATAATGGTAGGAATAGCCAAACAAAATCTAGATCAAGATCATCCAAGATCTCTTAAGGAGTATGTCAATCCTTTAGAAATTGAAATTCATCATAGTATCAATAAACCTACTATCCAAGCTAATGATTTTGAACTAAAATCTATCGTTATCCAAATGGTTTAGAATTCTCAGTTTGGGAGAACTCCTGTTGAGGACCCCAACCTAACTTAGTTAATTTATTAGAAATTTTTGAAGCATTCTAGTATATTAGAGTTAGTAATAATGCTATTAGACTTCATTTGTTTCCATTTTGTAAGGGACAAAACAAAAATGTGGTTAAATTCCTTTCTCATAAGCTTCGTAAACACTTTAAATGAGTTCCACATAAGTTCCTAGCAAAATATTTTCTACCATCTAAAACTACTAAGCTTAGGAATGATATTATTTCATTTTCTCAATTTAATGGAGAGTTAATTTATAAGAGATGGGAAAGATTCAGGGAGATGCTTAAAAGTACCCTCATCATGCTTTACCTGAATGGTTAGTGATTTAGACATTTTATAATGACCTTATAGGATCCCTTAGGTTTATAACTAATGTAGGAGTGAGAGGATCTTTAATGTCAAATCCTTTTGATGATGATTATTCCTTTATAGAGGAGATGGAAACAAATAACATCCATTGTTCTTCTTATAGGGTGAATCCTAAGAGAGTAACTGGTGTGTATGAATTAGATACTTTATTATTTTTGACTGGTCAAGTAGCTTTCATTGGTAAGATATTAAACAATTTGGGTGTTAGTTTTATTTCTTGATTACTTATGCATTTGGAAGAGAATGATTTGAATTCTATTGGTTTAGCTTTTGTAGTGTAGTATTTTACTGGTTATATATTTTACTACAAGTGCATGTAAATTTTACTTTTTTTGCACTAATTCAAAGATTATATGAATATTACTTCTATGATTTAACTTTTGACATATATATAGCTCCTTTACTATGCCTTGAATTCAGTTGTAAGTTTGGCGACTTGCTGGACTTTTTAAGCTCATTATATATGGTTAAATAATTTCATGTCAGGGCAGAGAAGCAAGAGTGTGAAGCTGGTCAGGATTCTTCATATTTTGTTTCTTTTTGTTATAGTCATAAGTAGTGTATATGATTTTTGAGAATGAATACAGATATGTACATTAATGTTTTGAACTATAAAATCTATTTTGCTTTTTAATTTTGATTGATTATATTTAGATAGCTATGGTTATTGTTTATTAAAAAGTAAATAAATTATTCTTCCAAATTAGATTCTGGGTTATCACACAGAGAAACTTGATCTAGTCTTGAAGATCTTCCCTCAAGAGACTGCAAAATAGTTGGGAAGAATTTTGAAGAAGAATAAAGAGATCCTCACTTTGGTAACCTTATGAATACCTCACAATTTTCTTTCACTAGATCTCTCACTCTCCAATCTCAACCTCTCTCTCAAACAAAGTCCCAAATGTTACTCTCAAAGGAAAATTTTAAGTAAAGGATCATAATGTTAGTTTTTAGGACTTCTTATATAAGAAACAAAAGAAAACAATCTAAAAACTAAAAATTACAAGTGAAACAACTTCAGATCATACAGTATAATTGTGGATCATATGTACGAACAGTTCAAAAATCTAGGTACAAACCTGTATGAACCTAATTTCATACATTATCAGTCGTCCGGATGAATTAAGATCATATTGTATGAATAGTTTAAAAATAGTGTGTTTGTATGATATGATCTGGTACGAACCTTAATTCATACATTGTTACTCATCTATACGAATACAGATCATATTATACAAAACAGTTCAAAAAATAATGTGTTCATTTGGTAAGATCTAATACGAACCTAATTTTGTACTATTTTAGTTATTTGTACAACTTGAAATCATATAGTATAAATAATTAAACAAGTCAAGCTTTATTTGGTACGATCTTGGATGAACCCAAAGTCATACCCTATTAGTCATTTATATGACTTGACATTGTATAGTACGAACAATTCAAAAGAAAAAACCATGATTTTATTGACTAAATTTTGGAGGAAAAGCTATGATAGATTATACAATACTATATAGATATCGTACAATATGATTAGTTTTAAAATTTTAAGTTTTAACTCTCTCCCCTAGTGTGTGTGTACGGTTACCCAATTACAATCACACTCTCATCTCATACTCAAGAAAATAAAAAGAAGAAGATTCGTAGTCTTTATTATATGAAATCCTATTGTACTCTTTCTTGAAGTCTTCAGCAGTCTAGAGTACAATTTCTCAGAAATAATAGTACACAAATAAATAAATAGAAATATCTAGTACATGTTAGGAGAAATAATAAAATTAATCGAAAACTAATATTTTTCTATCATAAAAAATCATAATCTCCATCTTGATTATGGAGTTACAACAAATTAATCTTAGAAATGAAAAACAAATTGACTCTTCTAAAAAGAAATTCAATATTTAACAAGATCAATCATGATATTCAAAATTTTGACATTCTAGAATCGTTCATTAAAAGGGAACTAAAATCTGAGATCTTATCAGATAGTGACTTCCCTGAAATCAACTTTCAACTAAGTCATATCGTAATAGATCTTATAGAATCTGACTCCAAATTAGATAATAATGATGTGAAACTTGAGGAGAATGTAAACTCTACCCCAGTTTGTTCTCTCGATCACACCTAGCATGTACAACTTTGTGATAATGTTTTACCCCCCCCC